TTATTCATTAATCGATAAAAGCAACACATCTACAAAAGGACTTCCACACCAACCCAAACTCCTTCACGGCCTCGTTCATCTTTACACTGCATGATGAATGTCTCCTGGGGAAGAAGACTTGCGTGTCAGAGGTTGACAGCGCTTACTGAGATCTACTTTGTGTTGATTTGTCTCTCCCCATCCCCGGTGTTACTCTGTAGCACACACTGGCCTCCAACTCATAACCATGTTCCTGCTTCACTCCCGAAGCATTAGGATTTTAGCCATAAACCAATATTGGTTCTCAGTTTCCTTTACCAATTTCCGTTTCCTAATTTCTCTGGAAACTGTGGAAGTGTGTGCTGTCCTAGTGCGCAGTAACAGGAAGGCAGACTGTGCCCAGTCCACAGAACTCTTCCATTTGTGATCCTCTTCTCTTCCATGGCAAGGCAGCCTTAACGGTGCTACAAATTTGTTATGGTCACATATGTCAGAAACATGGACAGTCACATTTGTTCTTTCTATAAAGTCGCAATGTGTTAAGTAAAAATAAATTCACAGCCTACATCAGCAGTGTTGGCTACAGTTGCCCAAGTAGTCTCCAGCTGCCTGTTAGAGATCATTTTTACCTCAGTTATTAGCATTAACTTTCATGTCAGGCCACATAATATATACATGTATGTGTGTGTGTGTATAGATGCATATCTGTAACAGGTTAAACAATATCTAAGAAAGGGTAAAAGAAGCTACAGAGTTCAAAGGCTTTCCTGAAGTCAGAGGCAGAAAGCATACACAGGCACAACGAAGAGTCTGCAGAGAGTGAGAGAAGTCTGACTGCCTTCATGTATCCAGCTGTTTAGAAATGCCAAATGCCAGTCCAAGTGACAGGACATTTCCAGGGTCAGTGTGATGTGAGCTGAGTGTCACCTGCAGGAGACTCTGCTGAAGCTGGAGGTTGGGACAGAGGCAAAAGGAGTCAGCAATTATCCTAGAGGAGGATTATGGCAGGTAACTGGGTGACAGCATGCCTATCACATCTTAGTCTTGGGGTGCTCCCTATTTTATAGTTCCAGGTAGGGGGTTTTTATCATGTAGCATGATTGCTAAATTCATATGTGGGGTGCTTCTAATTACCATTTGATATATTTAACTCTTGGTCTGAGTCTCTAGATGTGCTGGCAGATAGTGGTTGTTTACTTGTTTAAGCAAAATAATAGACACATTCTTTCTTGGCACATATACTCAAAATGGAGTAACCCAGGTCATGGTTGTTACTTTGTAAATGGCTTAACTCAAGGCTAGTGTGGTGGTTTGAATGATAATGGCTCTAACAGGCTCATACACTTTACCTTGGCTTAAAGTTGGTGAAACTATTTGGGAAAGATTAGGAAGTGTGTCATTGGGGTGGGCTCTGATGTTTCAAATGCCCACACTATGACCAGTTGGCTCTTCCTCTCTCTCTACCTCATGATTGTTGTCTCAAGATGTAAGCTCTCAGCTATGGCTCCGGTTCCATGCCTCCCATGCTCCCCACCATGATGGTCACAAACTCTAGCCCTCTAGAACCACGAGCCCTCAAACTAAATACTTCCTTTTATAAATTACCTCGGTCATTCATGCATTTTGTCACTGTTAGAGAAAAGTAACTGTGGTAGGTAGGGATAGCCTGAAAGGTGATGTTCCACATCACAGAGTAAGTCAGAGCAGGCCAAGCCTGTTCTTAGTATTGGTACTACAATATGGAAGGCGCCAAGGGTAGTTCTGGGGACAGCCACTCAGTTCACAGGGGACTTTGTACTCACCTGTGGAAACTGAAGCTAGTGATAGCCCTGAGCATAATATAAATCCACACCCTGCACCAGCTAGTTCTCCATTGCTGTTTTCTTCAACATCTTCCAAATGTTAATACCTGCCACATCCACCAGTCTCTCTCCTCAAACTGCTCCAATTCAGCTTCATGATCACCAAGTTTTTAAGCACAGTTCTCAAGTCACAAGTAACCTCTGTTTTTTTAAATTTATTTGACTGAGACAGGGTCTTCTAATATGACCTAGGCTAACCTTTCACTTCAGATCCTCTGGCATCAGCCTGCCCAGTCCTGGGATTACTGGAAAGCACTATTCCACCCAGTTCAATGCTGTAGAATAATCCTTTTGTACACTGTAAAGATTTGTCACTTGAATTGGTTTAATACAACACTGATTGACCAGTTGCCAAGCAGGAAGTGCAGACAGGGTGACCCAAACTAATGAGAAGGATGGAGTCAGGACTCACCAGCCAGACACAGAGGGAGCAGGAGATGAACATGTCGTGCTAATAAAGGTACTGCCATATGGCAGAGCATAAATAAGGAATATGGGTTGACTTAAAATATAAGAGCTAGTTAGTAATAAGCCTGAGGTATTGACCAAACATTTATAAGTAATATAAGCCTCTGAATGTTTATTTGATCTCTGTGGGGCACAGAAACTTCTGCTTACAGATTAATAACCTCTATTTGCCAAAATCTAGTTCATTAAAAAATCCTGAGCTGTTTCAATTTTTCCAGCTGGCCCCAACATCAAAAGTCTGCCCTCCTTTCCCCTCGTCCTCTGCACAAACACTAGACCAAATCAAGGTCTCATTTCCATCACTTAACTGCTCCACCTTTGCCCCAGGGAACATATGATAACAGTGTAACCTATCAGCCAGAGCGAAATCTCCAGAAGCAGGCACACATCAATTGCACGGTTACGATTTTCCAATAGCAATCATTGACACAGTTCAAATATCACTTCCACAGAGTATCCCTTCTAGAGAACCCAGACACTTTCTATTACTCCAGCCACCTTATTTTCTTTTTAAAGTAACAAAAGTAGTTACGCATGGTATATTTCGAGACTGGCTCTCCCAGAGCCCAAGTTGGCTTTGTGAATTCATTCGATAGTGGAGTATGGCCTTGAACGGCTGCTTTTCCCACCTCTACCTCCAGTGTGCTGGGATTACAGACGTGTGACACTCAGTGCTAAAACTCCCACAGGCTGTTCTTTATAAACCCCATTAACTAGCAGCCTTTTCTGTCGTAGAGTAACAGCTCCTGCCCAGCGCAAGGCCTAAAAATCTCCGTGAAAATTTAAGCCTCTATTGGCTTCAAGATGTAGCTTTCTATTTACTTTGTCTTTGGACATAAAGACAACTAAACAAGTAGAAAATATATTGTATGGATCTGACTACATTAAAGGCTGAATGTGTGTGCAGTGTGGGGGGGGGATGTGGGTGTGTGTGGGTGTGGCGCGCGCCGCACAGACATGTTTTGTGGCTTATCCTAGCTTCAAAGCTGATTCTCCAATCTTGGCTTCCAGAGTGCTGGACATAGTTTACCCTACTAATAGCTCTTGTTGTTGTTGTTTTAGCTTTGTGGTTTGCCTATGATTGTGTTTAACCAAAGAAAACAACGCTATTTATACCTCTCGTGAAGACACTTTTGACCTGACAGATTTTAATTATTTCCATAAGAGTGTCCTTCACTTTGGGGTACTTGTTCGAAAGGACGTTTTGGCTTGGTGTGTGTGTGTGTGTGTGTGTGTGTGTGTGTGTGTGTGTGTGTGTGAGAGACAGAGAGAGAGAGAGAGAAGATGGCATATATTTTAATTAACATCTAATTAACATTTTGGGCGTCCTTCGAAGTCCGTGCGTTCGGGCACAGGTGGAGGTCAAAGGACAACTTTTGGAAGTTGGTTTTCTTCCTTCCAAGGATTGAACTCAGGCTGTCAGACTTGGTGGCATGTGCAGTTACCCCTAAGCCACTTTGCCAGCATTCATGATGCCATTTATTTTTTATCTCCCCTCCATATTTGTTTAAGTCAGTATGTGACTGGAGAACGCAGGAGACGGAGCCAGAGAACCCTGGGTTATTTTTGTTGTCAAGACAATCCACCTGCCTCAGCGTTTCGAGTGTTGGGAGTGCAATAAACTGGACTGGGTAATCTTAAACTTAAACCGTGCTTTTCCTTACTAGCACTCTTAAGTCCCGACCAGCTATTTCTTCACACCTCCATCGACTCGTGTACGATGAAGATAATACACCACAGACCAAGAGAGCAGGCGCCCATGAGCAACTGAGGCACAGCAAGATTCCGTCCGACCTGTCTAAGCACAAGCTCGGTCCCGGCCTTAGGTCGTGGGTATCTCGGTCAAATCTCTAAACTTGGTGTTCACGTACACGTACTGGGGCAGCGGCCCCACCGCGCTGTCCCGCGGGGCTGAGAACGTTTGGGACGTAAAAGACGTAACGTAGCTGCAGAGGGAAATTCAGACTGCGGGGGTCCCCTATGCAAATCCGCGCCTTCCAGCCGAACACGGGCGCCGGCGCTTCCGCACTTCCCCTCCAGGGCACCCGGCCGCGCCGGCCGCGCGCTCTGACGCGGGGGCGGAGATTTGCATGTGCGAAATCGGGAAGAGGGGGGAACCACCGCTCGAAAACCCCGGGCAGACCTCGGGCGGCAGAGAAGCTCGCCCGCCGCTCCGCCCCGCCCGCCTCCGTCCGCGCGACGTCACGGACACGCCCCCTCGGTCCCCGGGCTTTAAGCCGCGCTCTGAAGG